GTCCAGTTCCAATGGTCTACGGCTTTTAATGGCCAAAAGTAAAGTCGCGCCGATAAAGCCCGTTACGATTCCACGATTAGAACTTTGTGGAGCTCTTCTACTAACCAAGCTCCTTCTAGCGATAAAGCAGGGACTTCATTTATCAAAAGTCACGATTAAGGCTTGGTGCGATTCGCAAGTCGTCTTGGCCTGGCTTAAAGGCCCCACATCGCGTTGGAAGCCCTTCGTAGCCAACCGGGTGGCTATTATCCAAGGTCAAATTCCGCCAGACTCTTGGTCTTATATACCCACCGACCAAAACCCGGCTGACCTAGCCACTCGAGGATGTACTCCTCAGGATCTACACGACCTGGCACTATGGTGGAAAGGACCTAGCTCCAGGGAACTCTCCCCTACATTCGGGGAACCTTATAATCACGAAGAGACCGAAGCGGAGGCGAAGACCCTCCACGCGGTTCGACCAATCGAGGCACCAGAAGAAATCATCGACCGATTCTCAACTTTAAATCGAGCTGTACGAGTACTTGCCTATTGCCGACGCGCTCTACTCCCGAAGAAATCCAGAGGTTCCACGTTCCTTACAACGATCGAATTATCGGACTCGCTGAACTCTCTATTGAAGGCAATGCAAGCCCATCACTTTACCAAGGAAATCGAGTGCCTCCAAAGTAACGAGACATGTCCGAAAGCCTCACCGATACGCTCCCTATTTCCATACCTTTATACAGATGGATTGTTGCGAGTGAGCGGCAGACTAGCGCAAGCAAATTTGGGATACGCAGCGAAGCACCCTATACTGGTAGCAAAGAAGAGCCATTTAGCCTTGCTTTTGACTAGGAACGCTCATTGTCAAACGCTCCATGGTGGTCAACGCTTAATTTGAAGATATCTCCAAGAGAGATTCTGGATCCTCGGTGCTAGTATCTTAGCCCGATCAGTCGTTCGAAATTGTGCCATCTGCGTTCGCCAACGAGCAAAACCCTTGACTCAGCGAATGGGTTCTTTGCCCCCATCACGCGTAACTCCAGCTAAACCATTTCTTCGCTCCGGAGTTGACTACTGTGGTCCGATAATGCTGCGCATTACAAAGGGACGAGGTTACAAAGCTTATAAGAGCTACATCGCCTTGTTTGTCTGTCTCGTCACCAAGGCCATTCATTTGGAAGCGGTAACCGACCTGACCACGGCATCTTTTCTCGCAGCCTTTCAGCGATTCACGGCCAGGAGAGGACGGTGCCAAGAACTGATATCTGATAATGGCACTAACTTCAAAGGGGCCGCGCATGAATTGGAACAGCTCTTTCAGCGGGCCTCTACCTTCTACTATCAAGTTGCGGAAAAACTTGCCGGTGATGGCACGAGCTGGACTTTCATCCCTCCTCATGCGCCTCATTTCGGTGGCCTTTGGGAGGCAGGCGTGAAGTCCACCAAATATCACCTGCGTAGAGTCATAGGAAACACGACTCTAACGTATGAAGAGATGGCCACACTTTTGTGCAAGATAGAGGCTTGTTTGAACTCGCGTCCGCTGTACGCAACCGCTGCGGATTCGGACGATCTCCAGACTCTAACGCCCAGACACTTCCTGGTGGGTGAGCCGCTCATCACGATGCCAGAGCCGGCTACGGCTGAAGAGGACCTTACACCCCTCTCTCGATGGAGACTAATTAGCCATCTGCGAGATTCCTTCTGGAAAAAGTGGAGCCTGAACTACTTAAATACCCTCCAATCGCTGGAGAAATGGCATGCAAGAAAGCCGAACCTTGCTTTGGACTCAATCGTTCTAGTCAAAAATGATTCATTACCACCAAGCAAGTGGCAGTTAGGCAGAGTCATTGAGCTATTTGCAGGGAAGGATGGCCTCGTACGGGTGGCGAAAGTTAGAACAGAAAATTCGATCCTTCAGCGCCCGATAGCGAAACTA